GCTTGTAATCCTAATGCTTGTCGTCTTGTATATAAGAAAACAGTGAATTGTTGTTTGCTCGAAAAAATTGATGCATAGTAAGTCCAACCTCTGGAACCATTCGTGCAACTATATAATGGTGAGAATTTTTGTTTCACTGAATAAAATCTTTATCTGGATACTACCTTTAACTATCTCTCTATTATAATTTTTTTTTTAATTTCAATGAGCTCTATAATTTGAACAACAAAAGCTTATTTACTCGCATAAGAGAATCACTGATACACAAATGCTTTCGGTGATATTCAAAATCATAACACAAAACACAATGAGAAATTTAACACATTTAAGAAATGGAGAAAACATACTTGAGGGCTCGCGGATATCGCCATGGACATTTTTAATCGAGGGTTCGTCAGGAGATTGGGACCCATGTTCTTGAACAATAAATTCTAAATCAGAAAAAAAAAAGCAAAAAATTCACTAAAAAGCTTCACCACTTCCAAAACCGCCTAAAAACTTCCTAATGATTTTTTTCCAAACAGCAATTCTGATTCGTTCTTGTAAGGTCTAGATTGATTAGAATATACACATAAGTTAATCAATAGGAAAAAAAGTGTTACTGTCGATGCAAATTCAATTATGTCATATAATCACAACACTTGATCACAGCGGATAAATAAATCTAGAAAGACAAGGAAAGACCAACTGTCGTATTCTAAAGACGAAAATACAATTCAAAATATATAATAAATAAAACCAATCGAATAAGAACATGCAAATCACATAAGAAACTATAGATTGAGATCTTAATCATTGGCATTCACGTATCTTGAAGCTAGATTGACGCAACCATCAAATAATTTTCCTGATCAATTATCCAAGGATTAGTAATCTTAACAAAAACAAAACAAGAGAAGAAATATAAAGAGCAAAATAAAATCAGAAGTAAGCATTTAAGAATACACCTTGAAAGAGAGAGACGTATGAACGATTTAGGTTTTGTGAGAGAGAGTTGATGATGAATCAGAGAAAGACGACGTATCAGTTTCGTCGCAAGGTTTTCTGAAACGTACATAATTTTTTACAATAATGGCATATGGGTCTTGTTTGATTTTTTAAAAAATCCCACTATAATTTCTCAGTCTAAAAACATTAAAAAAATGATGACAGGTGGCTGCAAAACCGAGAAAGAGAAACCAATTTAAATCAAGCCTTGAGAGCTAAATTGTGATCGGTCTAATTTAAATGGGTTATTGCTTACATGGATTTTTTTGCCCCTCACAAATGCTGATGTGGATGCATGAGAAGGGAGAAAAATTGATTTTATTGTATAAGATATTGTTAAAAAAAAATTAATAGAAACAACAATAACATAATGCTTCATAACACATTTATAGGATAAACTGATTTGCTAATTTTCCTCCGCTTTGTTTTAGTCTTGTCAGAGTTTTCTTGTAGTTTTCAATTCTTGTAAATAATGTCATTTTTCTCTAAGAAAATTCTTTTAATAGAAACAACAATAACATAATGTTATAATCGAACACTTGCCGGTTTGTGTGGTAGGCGAAGAGATGAACTAAATGCGTCCCAGTGTGATAATAATGTAAAAGCTCAGAGTTAATTACATATTAATGCGAGGCTGAGGCGTTACAGTGTTGAGATCGTGGTTTGCGTTTCCTAAGTTCAAGCGATAAGTAGATGGAAGAGGGAATGAAGAAGAAGCAAAGACCGAAAATATTTTTGGACCTTTCAATAAGATTACAAAATCAGCCCAGCCCAAGAAAATATACAACCGGTTCAAACCGTGATTTAATTAATACAACCGGACAAATACATGATGAAGTCTGGAGAGTGTCTTGGTTTAATGTTGGGCCTTTAAATATTGTAAAAAAAAACAGCAAAGCCCAACATACTATAGAACATACCAATACGGAATTGAAAAGGAAAACCGGACGGGACGCGATTGAATTAAGATTGAATGCTTGGGTTAACTGCTGACGTGGCTTTTTTTGCCCCACCCTATGATGCTGAGTTGGACACCCTAAGAAGGGAGAAAACTCAACTTTATTGTATAAGATTTATTAAAAGGCATAAGAAAAAGACTTCTTTAAGAAAAAGGCTTTTTATTAATACAAAAACTTATATGTATTTAACCAAACTGATTTGTATAAAATGTTATGAGAAGAAAACGAGGTGCAGAGAGTAACTATGTACTATCATCGTATTATTTATGGTTGTATGATGTTTTAGACATATGGTTATTTTGTGATGTGTAATAGGCACTATGTTTGTTTAATGTTAGAGCTAGACTTACATAGTCGTAACACTATGTAATGAGTCAGTGATTTGAGGTTTAACATCCCATACCAAAATAAATAAATAATATGATTAAAAAATAAAAAAAATGTCATATAAAAAAAATAATGATGATGGATTTGATTTTTTTTTAAAGCATAATAATTAATAACTTAGCATAAACACCAAAATATCCATAATATGATTATGTCCGCATGCATGCGTGTGGACGAAACACTTAGGAGTAGTACAATATTCAAAATGATGAAAAAAGCATATGTTTAAATTTCATAGTTAGACGATAGCAGTGCATGGTTGGAGGAGAGAAATGAAAGTTCAGCATCGGGACCACACAGAGTTCATATCGCGACATCAATGCTCAACGGTGCTCTGCTTGTGCTAGCTTCATTCTTGTCATTCCCCGTGGTTTTGGTATCCGGATGGGAAGGAAAAGTCTGTTCCAGCTCCAGGGAAATGACAATCATTGTGGGGCGTTTCTCCCCCTCGAGATTCAGACACGAAGTCGCAATGTTGGCCAACACCATGACTTGTTCGAGGTCACAATCGTTTCGGATTCGCGGATCCAAAATGTCGAAAAGTCTATTCTCTTTCATTGCTTCGAGGAAGAAAGATGCTAAAGTAGTGTCTCCTTGGATAGATGGTCGACCAGTTATCAACTCAGCCAGAACGACGCCGTAGCTATACGCGTCACTCTTTTCAGAGAATCTGCCGGACTGTTGGTATTGGGGGTCGATGTATCCAGGAGTACCCGAAACCACCGTCGTCGTCATGTGGCTGTGTTCACCACCAGCTATGTTCACTCTAGACGTACCAAAGTCTGTCAACTTTGCTCGGAATTCCTCGTCAATCATGATGTTCGCAGACTTGATGTCTTTGTGGAAAACAGGAGGTGAAGCCAGAGAGTGAAGGTACGAGAGGCCTCTGGCTATATCTTTAGCAATTCCAACTCTCATTTCCCATTTTATCAGCCCATCATCACTTTCTTGTTGATGATGAAGACGTTGAAAGAGATTACCGTTGGATATGAACTCGTATACTAACAATGGCACCTTTGTCTCTAGACAGCAACCAAGAACTCGTACTACGTTCCGGTGGTTTAACTGAGACAGGATGATCAGTTCATTTATAAACTCCCCAATTCTGTCTTCGTCCAAGACCGTGGATTTCTTCTTAACTGCTACGATCCTACCGTCAGTTAACATTCCCTTAAACACAGTCCCTTGGCCACCTCGCCCAAGCACCCTCTCCAAACTGAAGCCTTCTGTTGCTTTCTCTAACTCTTTTGAAGTGAATAACATAGTGTTATTCTCTATAGCGCCTTCCCTTGAACTCAACTGCTGCTGTAGTAACATACCACCATTTCGCCTAAAACACTTTTCCCTGAGCTTCCTCTTTATGTGCGTTTTGATCAATTTGTATACCAAAAAGGCTGCACCTATAAGCAACACGCTTGAACCTACGCCAACCCCTGCAGATTGCACCAGAAGACAAAATAATACATTAATATATATATATATATATATATATATAGGAATTATAATAAAAAAATGTATAGGAATTAGAGTAAATGCGAGGTAGGAAAAAAAAAGAAGATTTGAGGATTAAAGAAAGGGAAAAATTCTAGATTGACTCAAATTAATGGTATAATTACTAAAATGACTTATTTTTTTTCAAAATTATTAAAATGCTTTTCTAGTAAAAATTGTCCTTGACTGTAGTTATAACAAAAAATAATAATGACCAAAGTGCCCATCAAATTAGGTCGTCGGCCGATTTGTTTTTCGAAAAATAAATCTGTCGCATATTAAGTCTGTTTTCTAAATCGGATAAGAAAATATAATATATCCTAAAAGTGGTGGCAGATTTGTTTAAATCGTCAGATTTCTGTCTACGGTCGACTTATTTTTTCCGATTTGTATAGAAAACCGATTTTTGAAATATGTCAGTCGGATGACACAACAAATTTGTTAGAAATGACAGACTTTTGTGATCGATTTAGTTTCATATGGCAGAGATATATAACCAATTTATATATTCGGCAGATTTGTTGACTTATGAGGTGACAGACATTTAAGTTTACGAAGTGGCAGATTTGTTGATTTTTGAGTTGGCAGACTTCTTATTTTACGAAGTGGCAGATTTGTTGCGGTAATTCTGGGTTTTACTAAACCAAACTATTTTTTTTTAGTTTTTTTAATGTCGTGGGCAAGTTTAATTAGGGGTAATTTTTAAATTGATGTGTATCCCATTTGAGTGAGTATTTAATTTTAAATATGAGTCATTTTAGTAGTTTTAGGATAAATTTGAGTCATTCCAAGTAATTTCTCTTAAAGAAATCATCAGTTTATAGAATTTATTGGACAAAATATATGATCAAATCAGGGTTCAATGTTTTCTTCTTTCAATGACTAAAGTAACAACTATATATATATATATATATACTTTTTTTTTCTTATAGGATCTATGATTATTTGAATATTAAACACAAACTAAAAAAATACTAAATGTAATATATCTATATATATGGATCTATTATCTACATCCTTTTTATCGATATTACTTGGCTATTTTCCCGTGCAAAATTTATAAAATAAATATGCCACAATAGTTCATTAATTATACTTTTAATTTTAACTTAACTTATAGTTTATATGTAGAATTTATATTAAATATATTATATTTTACTAATTAAACATATGATTTTGGAGATTTTTGATATCTACTCGACTTGATTATTTTTCTAGGTCAACATTCAATTTGGTTATCACGTAGGTATATTGGATTGCATATATATTTTTAAACTGAAATATAATATTTTAATTTTAATATATTATTTTTTATTAAGTTTTCTTTTCATTTAGGTATAATTTTGTTTCAGATATGTAAATATATTTTATTAAGATTATGTATAACTTAATATTGTGCTTAGATGAAATAAATAATACTGAAGTATTTGATTACAAATTACATAACAATAATATTCTCAAATCTCATACATATGTATAAATTTTTAAAAATAAATAAATTTGAACAACTGGTTAATATTTTATTTTTCTTTATTAATATGTTTTGAGCTATTCTGTAACATTAATGTATAAAAATAAATAGAATATTATAAAATTATATGTTTTTATTATTGTTAGATTTTTTTATTTTTTATATAAGTTTGATTAGTCGAGTTACTCATGTAGTAAGTATATTGAGTTACATATATTCTTACAAATATAAACTGAAATATAAAATTATTTTTGATTCTAATTAAGTCGAATCAAATTAGTTTTATTTATTGCTTAAATGTGCATGTATTTTCATAATATTTATCAAGTTATATGTTTACTTTTAAAAAATAAAATAAAAAATAAAGCAATGATCAATAGAAAGCTATACACATAAGTATAACTAACTAAGTTATATTTTTTTACATTAATAAAATCTTTAATAAATTCTAAATAATTTAATGCTTTAAATTTATTGAAATATAAACTGAAAACTGTTCTCACAATCTTAAAAATGAGAATTTAGATATGCTAGGACATTTTGATTATGGTATATTAAGTTCCAATACATAAACAAAACATAAAGTGAAAAAAGAAAACTAAATATTAAGAAAATGTTTTTTTAGTTATGATAAAATCAAATATAATATATCTACCTCATCAAAAGTATATATTTTAATGCTATTTAAAAATGTAATTATTTGATCAAAACATGCTTATTTTTTTTAAAAAAAAAATTATTTCTTTTAATTATCTATTAAAAGTAAATACAAAATATTTTGTTAATGTTTTTGAGAAATCATAATATATATATATATAATATAATTTACAGATATTTTATTTTTATTTTTTGCTTCAAGTGTAGGATGTTATAGTCAACTAATGATTATGAAAAATTCAATATTACTAATTCTAAACGATTTTAGTCAGTTAAAGACATATTGGTTTATGATATTTAGTTATTTTATATAATCATATAAGAAAATATATAGGTATGAAGAAAATAGATAGATATAAATAATTTATTTATTTATTGTGATATATATATATATATATATAAATATAATTATGCTTTTTAAAATTATATTTTAAAGGAAATAATATTTTTAGTATCAAGATTATTTTTGTGATTTTTTTAATGAAATCACATTATATACACATCTATTATTTTTATCTAAGAAAAATGTAGATATAAAGAAAGTATTTTTAGTACTTTGAAAGTATATATTCTTATTTGAAAATATGTTTAAAGGGAGTATTATTATTTTGTGAATTTTTCTTTTCAAAGGAAATCAGATTATATATATATATATATATATATATAGGTTTGTTTATTAATTCGTTTAAAAATAAGAAAAAAATAGTTTTATTATATATATTATTTGAAAAAGTAAGAAATATATTTAAATGTAATATTTTAATTTATTAAGATTATCAATGTAATCAACTATTTTGAGAGGTAACGTGACCGCGACATGTAAAAAAATCACTTTCCAAATAATATTATAGAGATTAGTTTTTCAACTAATGTGCATTAAATTTTTTGTATTATAGAACTAATTAATCTGCATTTGTTGTAAATGGGAAAAAGTAAGTAGGTACAATATAATACATGCATTAAGTAATATCATTTTTACCTCTCTTTTTTACGTCAGTATCATTTTTACTTAGCAAAAAGTTATACTAATATTTGTCTTAAAGGTGACCCTAGTATAATTGTAAAGGGTCTTGATAGTTTTTAATTGATCGATCATGCTGTTAATGCTAACAAAATTTAAAACCTTAAAAAATGTCTCGGGAGTGAAATTCTAGTAAAGGAAAAAGTTGGAAAGACAGGTTGATTGACCTATATAAATTCGGTAGGATTTGTCCTCTTTGATCACGCATCGATAGCTCCCTGGAACATTTAGACAAGTTTCGCCGCTAGTGGGGCAATACTTGGGACCTCCAGCTTCGAGGATCTTACACTCATCAACATCTACATGAAAAGAAAAGTTATGAAATTGTAATTATGCAGCTGATCGATGATGTTAATTAAAGGGAAATTAATTAAATTTGATATATATATATATATTAATTAGTAGAGAGCTTCGAGAATCTGACCTTTGCATCCATCTACCTCGTACGGGTTGCCCTCGTAACCATAAGTGCAGGCACATGCTAGATAGCTGATCTCATCAGGAATGGTCTCCCCAGTACAGTAGCAAGGTTTTAAGTGAACGTCATACAGTGGGTCGGTGAGGCACTGCAAAGATTCTTCAAACGACATATTAGTCGTAAGAACATGCCACTTAAGCTGGATAGTGAAATACTTCCTCTCGTAAAACCATTTGGGATCAGTTATGTTAACCCACGGCCGCAACGGTTGGTCAAACTGGTCGGTTAAGAAGGCGACTCTGCACCCTCCCCATGTTATATTGCCATCAATGCTCTCTATTTTTACACCAATCTCATCAAGGGACTCTGTTGGTGTGCTTGCGTGGCAACACTTATAGCCATGGCAGCCATTTTCTGAGGAACTTAGTAGGGGTTTCATGATATCGCAAGTGGAGATGCATCCGACAATTCTGGGGTCGATATGCGTCAATGTGACCTTGTTATTGCACCCAAAAGCAACGAGTTTGTTATTGCCGCTGATGGAAAAAGGAGTTCCAGAAAAATTCACAAGCTCTTCGGTCATTTCTCCCCTGCTGCTGTCGCCATTACACCCCAAAGAACTTACCCTAGTTTTGATGCGGAGTGACCCCGAAGGAACGTACTCAACTAAGTTATCTTCTTGCTTTAGTGGTCTCGGAAGATCTATTTGGACCACTTCCTTGCCGATCTTGGGCAGAAACGGGACGAAATTCTTGCACTTGACCTCGTACCAATCATTGTGGTAGCAACCGTGCCCCATACCGTATGGAAACGGTATAGAAATATTTCCACAGTGCCTCTGGCAAGAAATTGAAACCGTGGGTTCTGCTGAATTAGATATCAGTACAAGCAGTAGACACAAGTGGCGTATAAGCCTCATTTTCTCTTCTCTTGATCTCCTTTTTTTTTTTTTTGTGTTTTATTTTCTTTTCATATTCACTCTTCTTCTTTGTGATATATACATCAGTGCAGGAGTTAGTGTCCTAGTGAGATGTCAGTAATACCTCTATAGCATTTCCAAAATTTCTACTCCACATTTAATGTACATGGATGAAAAAATATATATGATCTACTCCACAAGATCACTCATAACTGCGGAAGTATGGCATCTTCAAACCTGCATGATCCATGTTTACTTTGTTTACTATTATGACAACGTTTAGTTCATCCACATGTTAGCTTTTTGACTTTTTTAAAGCTAGCTGTAGTGTTTTAAACCCGTTGATTAGATTGAATTTATATCTTCTCGTGCCTTTTCAGTTTGATGTACGAATCAACCACACACAACAAGAGCAATGTACAAAAACCTCTTTTATTTATTAAAATGCATAATAGAAAGACTTCTATTTTCTGTTACAAAAAAAGACTTCTTTAAGAAAATATTTTATTAATAAAAACTATATATGTATTTAACCAAACTGATTTGTTTAAAATGTTTTAGAGTACTTTTTATGTAAATAGTTTCGTATAATGTGTCTGAAATATAAAAACATCATTTCAAAACTTTTAATGGAGTTCTCTTTGGATGTGTGGCGAAAAAAATAAACACATTTTAATGACATAAATAGTCAAATTAATTCTCTTAAACATTTTTATATATCACAAACAGGAATGTTACACACACACACACACATATATATATATATATATATATATATATGCAAGTGTAACATTTCCATTGGTTCAATTCATTAAAGCATGATAGAACATTGATTTTATGTTCTCAAGAGATTTGGTGAGCATATGGACGATGATGATGCACCAAAACCAAAAAAAACATGTATCAAACATAAAACATTATTTAAATGTAAAATAGTATAAATTAGTTCAACAGAAAACTTTAAATTATATATTCAATCATCAATTTATCACATATATAAAAACAGTATTATAAAATTAAAATAACCACGCATGGCGCATATCTGACTTTAGAACATATTACATGAGGCACATATTCTATTACAACGTGGAGTGATAACTTTCAAAAGATAAAAAAAAAAAAATCAAATTTCATAAACATTTATTAGTTTTACAGACAAAGTAAAGAAAGAAAAGCACGTTAAACAACATTTTTACTCCATTTACCCACAAGTTTAGGTTTTTTTCCATCTCTCTCAAAGTAAATTTCATCATTTTTAGCAATCCATTTGTGCAACTCATTATTACATGGCGGTTTCCGACCTGGTAAGTTTACTTTCAGTTCATAACCATAAAAATCTGGTTCGGTCCTTTACTCAACCCACAAATCCAAGTTTTAGAGACCACACCGTTACTAATGAATCCAAATCTATATTTCTCATTAAATTTTTAAAAGCCGCGAGGTTTTGAATTTCCGATGTGACCACAATTATAATTCAGACTCTGACCAGAACCGAGTTTGTTTTGAAGTTTTAGCGTGCGACTGCAATCTTTTACTGGTGGTAGCACTTCACTCAATCCAATATACATAGCAGTAACTGACATAAAAAAATGAGATTCTTCATTTTTTGAACAAAAAAAAGAAATTAATATGAATCTGAAAACATAAAGGTTTAGTATTTAAAAACAACAAATTACATGATAAACGGTTGTAAACTAATGAGAGAATAAAGGAATTGGTGTTGTATATTACCCATAACATAGGATCCTTTATATAGGAAATTACATGGGAGATAAAATAGAAAGTATAAAGCCAATACCAATATGGGAAATGCTAAGTTTGAACCGTCATATAGACTACACGGATTGTGCCTAGATATGGTTATGGCCCATCCACTAATTGGTTCATAACACTCCCCCTTGGATGTCATAACCATATAGAGCTTGAAATATGCTTTGGATGTTGCCTCATTAAAAAATTTCTAGGAAAAACCCAAAAACCCAATGGTACAAAATCCAGGTAAAATCATGGATAAGGAAAAAAAGTACAACACATATTACTCCCCCTGATTTGAGCATCACTGAAAGTTTTTTAATCTTGAGTCTTTTAGCTTGAATGAATTTGAACTACTTGTACTTCTCTCTAACTCGTGGGCGATGAATACTTGGATGGGATATGCTTCTTTGTTGTTGTCCACTCCATAATCTGGTCGGGCATGTTGATTTATGGTCCTCGACCAAATCATGATCAGAGATACGGATACTATCCACACGGATGTGTCTCTTTTGTCGTCAACCACCTTACTTGGATGGACCTCGACCACAAGAGCTTACGGTTTGTCTTATGGTCCATGAGGATGTGATTGATCATCCTACCGACCATCACACACTCTCGACCAAACACACACACACGATGATGTTGCTGTGAATGCGTGTACCACCATGTATAAAACATAACCTGGCTGAAAAAAAAATAACAATAAAACCAAATAACCCTTCTTTGGGCTAGTTAGTATAAGATACACGCAGTGAAAACAAATTTCTTTTATAAGGATACATGGACTAATTTGAATTGTTCTTATAACTTGCTTTCACTAAGTATCTATCATACTATATGCATCTGCTTTGTTTCCGTCCACAAACAGTTCAGCTTTATACAATGATGTTTCTTAAGAATTTCTTTTCTCATCTTTATACCTTTATAATTATTATCCAGTGGACCATATACAGCTTACTACATCCTTTATATGTTAATCTAATTTCTTTCTTATGACCAGACCTTATCAATTCGAAATATGTAATAGCATCCACCACATAGGAGTATATCTCCTCATAGTCTATTCCTTGTCTCTGTGAGAATCCTTGTGTAACAAGTCATGCTTGAATGCTGTAAGTAGAAACATGAACAACTTTAGACCACGTGATCATGTTATACATCTCACGATTTTCTTTCCATCACAAGACCCATTTTGAACCACTGGTTTATATTATATGGCGTATATATATCTATATATATATGGCCAATACACCTCTCTTTCGCTAGATACTCTAACCCCACGTTTCCATTTAATCCGATCTTACGAGTACTCTATTACGTGGGTTCATGATCCTCGCTTTATATCTATAAGTTCAAGTGCTACCTTTATGTGCTTCCTTAAATGAATTTATCATCTATGTGTCGACACTCATGTGTGGTTCCATGGTGTTCCAGATATGATCTAATCGAATTGAGATTACTATCTAGGACCTTTATTACCTAGCAGCTTGGCATCCCAAGCTACATGGTTTGGTACCTTAGATGTTCAGCTGGCCAGCCTTATCTCCATGTCTGGTCTGGTTTCCTTTGACCTCGGATTAGTTTTCATTCTATGCACCTTTATCTTTTCTTTCTGAGGATTCCTATCTCATGGAACCTATTGGTCTACCTTGTCTAGACTTTGTAGCAACTTGACTGTGTCTCTTTATTAGGACATCAAATTCGTTGGTGCAAGCTCGTATGACTTAGTCATTCTTTTCTTTTCTTTTTGGGTCAGCGAATGTGTTTGGCATTTGATTATCTAGATTTATAAATGTATAATCTTTGTATTTATCTTTGGACGTCTTATTTCACTTTCTTAAGTCCGAGGATCTTGCCAAGACAATGATGGTTTATTTCATTCTATTTCTCTCATCATTATTTTACCAACTTATTATTTTCTCCCCCTGGATAGTCGGATTCCTTAGACATGCAATCTGTGTACCTGGCCCCAAAATAATCACCCATGGTCGGCTCTATGTATTAATATTCGTGGGAGAAAACATATCTAACATATATCCCCATCTTCTTCTTAGAACTCCATCTTAGACGGAACCTATGTTTGTGGTGACATGTCTTAAGATGAGATATGTCTGGTTCATGACCCCTAATCAATTTGAGATGGGAATATCTATGCTCACTAGATGGCCTGATGCGTATTAACTTTAGATACATGTTAATTTCGTGTGTCCCCAAGCTTTGGACCTTATAGGGAATAGTCTTATGCGTTTATAAGAGAATCCGGCCAAGCCGTTTATAGTATGGTCATGGACCACGGATTTTTCCTTAATCCCCCTCATGAACATACTATAATCTTTAAATGCTTGGGACATTAAGGCCTATTGAGTTTCCATTGTGTACATGTTACACACGTGGGATTCTATGGGATAACTCTTTGTGCATATTTGTATATCAATCTTTGCATCACGTTTAGACCAAGATGACCAATCCAGTCATGCCATAAAGTGAATAATTTTGTGGGTAAACACTCTGGTTACCTAGGTATTTGCCTCTTGTCATACTGATCTTGGCATAGTAAAGATCAGTAGAGGATGCATGTATAGTCTTGACCACTTTCTTATGGCCTTAGGCGATTTTTTTTTTCTATAATCTGAAGGAACTTTTATTTCCTTTGCCCATTGTTTCAATATGGAAATCATTCTTATATTTTTATATCCTATTTCTCAATGGGCTTATCTGGGTGAATATAAATCATCCCATTTAGGCAATGATACAATGTCCTGCCCGTGGTCCTATATTGGACTTACTATACTTGCAATTTAACCTCATATTGGCGTTTTAGTAATGAAAATCATTCATATTATTAAGCAAAAATCAGACAAGATAATAGCAATAAAATAAACTAAAAAAAAAATCATATTATTATAAAGAAAGCGTAAACAACAAACAAAGTAAACACCAAATCAAACAAAAACACTCATATTGTCGAAATTCATTCGCTTAGGCAATCTGAAGTCTCATAATCCATAAGGTCATCCTGCTGATGATCAAAGTTGTTTTCCCCATCATTGTGGACCAAATGCGCTTCTGGATTCTTCCCTTTCTGGCTCTCTTGGTAGAGGTCGCAAAGATATCTCGGAGTCCTACAATTCTTAGTCCAATGGCTGTCCATTCCAAACTGATTTGGACGAGTGTGGTGGTTTAGAGATACCACCACGTCCACTGCCTCAACCATGGCCAAAATTGGGTCCATTACCATGGTTATT